TGTGAATTTCGAATGTTTTATCGTTTTCTCGGTGATGCGACTGAAAGTGGAGACTTGTAATATTGTTGACATCACGATGAATAACGGGGGCGACTTTTATTTTATTTTTATAGCCATTAAATAATTTGCGCGGGTACCCACTCAGATTTTCGTACGCATCAATACTAAAGAGACCGTATATTACAATAACAGATACGCAATTTAAATAATAAACTTAACTGTCTATCATTTTAAAATTCGGAGCGAAACGAAGAACACGAGGGCTAATCAAAAAGTATCGAGACTGATAATATTACTTGGAAACCGAGCGTTGAAGAGCAAAACGATTTGTAAACCTAGTTTCTATGACTTATACTGAGCACATCTATTCGTATAAAATCTCTATAAACTTCTTCGTTTTGATTTGACGATATTTTTCTAAAATTTGTTTCTCACGTTTGGCGATTTCGTAATGAATCCAAAAGCAGCGGAACTCGCTGCCAACCGAGGGCACATTTTCAGTTTTTCAATTGACATTTAATGGCGAAAACCATGAAATGTCGCATCCCTCTGAAACTGGAAAAAAATGCAGACAAATTTTCTAAAATCTCCAAATCTGTCAAGTTACTATTCTTTTGGGTTTATTACAAAATCGCCAAACTCGAAAAATATATTTTACAAAAATATCAGTGAAATCGAACCGAAGAATTTTATAGAGAAGCAATAAAAACAAATGTACTCAGAAAAAGTCATAGAAGCAAGTGATACCAATCCTACTGCTCTTCGATGCTCCTTTTCCGAATGATACTACCAGTCTTGATACTTTTTGATTAGCCCTCGTTTATTGGATTTACTATTAAATGTATGTTTTTTTTTTTTTTTCTAAAATTACTTTGTTTTGTGCTCGTGTCTGTAAACGACATTTCGACTACTAATCTTGCTAAAAAACAACTTATAAATAAATAGTTTTCAGCAAAATTTTGGACCGTTCAAGAGAGAAAGTCAGTCACTATATGCAACATATTTTGTTCATGCAGTTTTGCATGTTTCGAGGAATTCGATAATGTTATGTTGATCGTTCCCCGAACCGAGAATTGTGCACGAAGATTGATGTTCGGGATTTTGCGATTTTCTCGGAGTACTCGGAACTACAGTCGGATGTTAAACGGTTAAAAATACACCACACCGAGGGACATAATGTGCCCACCCACGTGTATGGCGGATTCGCCGTTTGCCACGGGGTACTGATAGTTCATAGTGTAACGTATGAAAGTTTGAACGTAGCAAATAACTAACCACGTCCACAGGGATGTTATACCGTGTTAATCTGCAGGTTAATCGCGTGTCTTTGTAGATTCAAAACAAACATTTACGTCGACGTTGGTTGTTCATACATAATTCGATGTCAGTAAATAATACAATAATGGGTATTGGTACCTACCTAGCCTGACCCATATACCCATCTGTTTTACACGTGGTAACACCATGAATATCTGTCAATGCGCTTAATAATATGTAATTAGATCGCGGATTTCGATGTAAAACGCGCGTGGACGCGAGAGTAAGAAATAACAACCGATCAGAACGTTATGCTTAATCCAAAGAATTCAAATCGAAAATAAATATTTAACGTGCATGATATCGATGCGAAATATTTTTCAGAACATTATAATGCAAATGCGTGTTTATGAATATTTCATAGCATTTCCAAACGAAAATACCCATCTTATTGTTATTAAAAGCGACGGTCATTTTAATCTCTTAACTCGTTTATAAACAGGGGTACGATGGTACCCTTACACGGTATTTTATTTTAATAAAAAAAAAAAAAAAAAAACCTAAACGCTTAAATTATTCGAATACTAAACGAGACAATAATATTATATTAATAACGCCTCCATTGTTAGATGGTTCTTACATTTTGTTCAACGCGATTGGTGCAGAATTCCTAGTTATTAAAATACAACGATTATTTTTATTTGTTTGGCGTTCGAGAATAATATGGACTTGGGTTATTTTTTTTTTTATTCGTACGGAATCAAATATTATAGAAATATAATATAGGTAATGTCTTAGATTGTTATTGTATTAACGCGGTAGTAATGATGAATTCCGAGAAAAAAAAATGCGTATAATTTATATTAGATAACAGACAACCTAATTGATGGTGATTGATCGATTGATATCGTTTTTACTATAAACACTTGCCAGTATAAATGACACGGTAACGATTGATCGCGTCTGTATATTGTGCATAGTACTGCACAGTGTTACTTTAGTTCATTTCGTTCAGTTAGTATTTTTCAAACATAAAACCGACATTGCCGCGTTTCCGGAACATAATAGTTCGTGGTAAGGTTTTCAAATTTTATTCCAAATTAATTTCTATTGCCAACATAAATCATACACAGAGGAAACTATTGTCGCCATGTGCGTGTTACCCTCAATCGAAATTTAACGTCATCAATATACGTTTTTGTATTTCATCGGTCAGCCGTTGATGACGAATAGAAGTATAAAAATACACTAAGTATAAAACATAATACCTACACGTACAGGTACAATTATTAAATGTTTTTAAGCCTTTGCGAAATGCGAAAAGTTTACATGTTCACATTTTTAGCTAAAGTACTATTTGTATTGATATAGATCGAATATTATATAGCAGAGGTAAAGACATTATTTGTGAATTATCGTCTGAAAATAATAAATTTAATTTTACTTCGCCAGGAGAAAGGTTTTCAGCGGAGCAAAAGAAAGATGATTAATGTTGATAGTTATTGTTTCGAGAAACAATCTTCGGGACATTACATTTTAGTAGTTTTATTCAGCAAATTTTCAGATAAAATCAACGGTTCCCAAAGTGTGCGCCAGGGGTACCGCGTAGCCATTCAGATTATTCTCTAGTTAAAACATAAATTTGAAATTTGAATGACAACAGAAACGGCGACGCTGATTATGATTGCACTTTAGAACGATTGCAATAAGGGACTAGGTCCTTTTTTTCTTGGAAAACTCTACTTGATCATAGAAATGTTCAATGATTAATATTTATCGTTACTTACAACATACCTGTTACTATAAAATAAATTACCTATTTGTTTCACACCAAATTCAGCGCACGTTGCGAACAAGATTGTAATTTAATTGCGTTAAGTATGGCGGTTGGCAGTTATAACCAGTAATTATAGGTATACACCACAGACAAATGCCAATGCGGTGAGTTTAACTGACGTTTAATTAGTAGGCAGACCGAAATTTAGAATGGTAATTTTTAGAAGGCAGATAAATTTGTATTAAAGGATTTTATTTTAGAATCTGAGTAGAGTGCGGAAGCTTATGGTTTTACAAAGTTGTTTATTTATTTATTTTTTTTTTATCTGTTAAAAACATTTCAACGAAAAAACTTGCTCGGATTTCTATGTGTAGCACCTTTTCTGAAAGGTTTGGTGAGGTACTTTAAGGAAATCATTTTTCGATTTTCTCAGGAATTTTCTCATGAAATTTAAAAAACTGGGATGAAACATGGGAAAACCGGGAAAAAAGTAGGATAACTGTGAAAATCGCTCCAACATTAAACAAATATTATTAAAGAAAAACCTATTTAATTATTTTACTATAATGTGGCATATATATTGTTAACAAAGCATCACTATCAACTGAACTCAGCTCAAAATCATTTTTTCGTAAGCAACGGTTTATCGTTGCTTACAGATATACATTAAATTCCCGTCTGTATCCTACCTTCCCAACTACCCACCTACACCGGTAGGTGCACCCATCCCCATTACTTTTTTTTAAAATTCAATTTACTGTCGGTAAAAATAATATCGAATAATTATGCGTTTAAAACTGTACCTATTTAAATTATTAAACATTTAAGGGAGAGAAATTACCCGTTATTAGAGACGGTAAAAAGTTAAATTCACCAAATTGTTTACTGCAGTGGTGAATCGTTTTCAATGAATTATATCAACGATTTAATCTCTAGGTTTTTATGTTTTATAAAAACAAAAATAATAATAATTATACAAATTGTCGGTAATATTATGCAGATTGTATAGCTTTACAGATTTGTTCAATATATAAAAATATATATATTTGTTTTTTTTACGATTTTTTTGATTAATCCTGAGAACTTATAAATATGTACGATTAATATTGGATTAGTACACCAGTGGCCAGTGACATTTTAGTAAGTACTCGCTATAATACTATAAACTATACAGTCATATCTCTACGGAACACTTTTGTTGCAGATCAAAACTTCCAAACGGCAATATAACTATGTTCACTAGATTACCAATTTATTATTTGAATATCCTTATAAATTAAAACATATTATACACGAATATACTTTTTTTTCGCTACGTTTGGACATCTCTATAGCGGCTCTCTCTGGATCAAATATGCTCGACCTCGGCAATTAGAGTTGTTTTGTGGATGAATTGTATTTATAAAAGTTGTGCTGATTTTCAGTATGAATTTACACTTGTCATTACGGGTGGGGTTTTTTTTTTATTAGCATCGCACACGTACACTGCTACAGATTTCTCAGGACGATGAAATTGTGGATATGCGTGATGGTATTATCAAAAGGCTGTGCCTTTCGAAGTTTTCAACTTTCAACTCCCACCACTGCTATTTTTATGAATACATTTTATGATTTTTTTTTCAAAGTACCATAATTACAGTATTATATATAGTATTGTGCTATTATAGTACCTATTCGGTCGTTAATTGTTTTACAAAGAATATTTCTATTGTACAAAATAGGTGGCGGAAAATTCGACTCTAATATAGGAGCTCTGCTGCTCACGAGTGTTTTTGTATTATGTATTTATAGAACGAAAAAAAATATAAAAGTTTCGTTCGGACCTTTTATTATATGACGCTATACATATAAATTGAAAACGAATACTGAACTTTTTCAAAACTTTTTTGTATCGTTAATAATAACAATATGGTAATTCGACTTATAAATCGATCGAAATGCAGTTCTGATCGTGTATAAGAGTAACACATGTGTCGGAGAAAAATATGATTCTCGTATAATATATAATATGCATACTGCGCATACCTTTAACAAAATGTTATTATATTATGACATTTGACTGCGCTCGATAAACAATTCGTACCTAATAATAGTATTATTGTATTCTATGAATCACGCATACTTTGGAAATTTCAAGCATTACGGACCTATGAGAAACACCGACAATATTTATTTGGAGGCGAATTTCATTACTCATCGTTCGTCTTGTACAGTAAAACGGCAGTGCTCGAATTGACATTAAAAAAGAGCGGGGTAGACTAACGAAAAGAGTCCACTGTAATTTTTAGATTCCGAGCGTAGAGAGAGAGCTATTGGTTTTACTAAGATATTTATTTTTTTTTTCTTTCTTTCTTCTAGTCTGCGGACACATTTTTTCCTAGTAAACTTGCTCCGATTTTTACGTGTAGCACCTTTTTTATAAGCTCAAGTCGTCTATATGGTACTTTAAACAGGTCATATTTTTTTTGGATTTTCTAGGGCATTTTTAAAAAAAAGCGCCCAAGTGGGAAAAAACGTAGGAAAGCGTACAATTTTACGATTTAATTATTTTATAAAAACACGGACGATATTTTCTACCAGAAAAAATTATTTAATCGAAAAATCACAAAATACCTTTTTGTTGCCTTTTACTTTTTTACGATATTATCGCCAAAACTATTAAGCCATTTTTGTGCTTTTAAGGAATTTTAATTTTTGGAATTTTTTTGCTGTAATTCGGTTATAAATACACGTAGAGACTTGAAACTTGGTAATAATACTTATACTGGACTTAGCTAGACGTGGTATAATTTTCAAAAATCATGGAATGACTTTTTTTTTTTTTAATAAGCGTATTGAAATCAAATTTAAACGAAAAACGTAAAAAAATTACAGAATTTCAAACTATGTACTACGGAACTGCGCTCGGAATCCTCTTTCGTCAAGCAATGGTTTATCGTTGCTTATATATATCAATTAAATAACCTTATGTATCCTACCTTCCCAACTTTTCACTTTCAACAGTAGCCGCTCCCATCCCCAGTATCAGCTCTTATTTTTTCATAATATAGATTTGATCGTACCCATAATTGAATTACCTTACTGAAAAGTTATCGTATTGGGTAGTATTTAGACTTAGCTAGATGACAATTTTTCGATATTTATCTGAGAGTTTTATAATGTTTGTAATGATTATATTACAATGAAATGTAGTATTATATACCATATTAATATACTTAAGATGTAAAGATTTTGCATTGCAATAATTATAGCTGTGGCAACAAATAATTCAAATGAATGAAAGAAACGAAAGAACTAAAAAAAATCGAATATATATGGTTAAAAAAATGAAAAACAAATGTATAGCGGTTACTCGTCATAACCTACTTCAGGATAATCTATTTTTATCGTTATTTGTATCTATATTTACCTACAAATAAATTAAAACATAATAATGCCTTTGTATTTATAATTACCTATTATGTATGCATAATATATTGGCCTTAAATATGTTTAACTAAATTAATGTGCTTTCGTTCTTAGTTATTCCAATAGATATTAAACTAAACAAATGTATTGTTTGAATGCTAAGTGCTAACTACGATATGAATTATAGATAAGGTTAGTATTGGAAAATTTGTTATTTTACTAATAGAGCGTATAGATCATTACTACACACTCGGTCAGTCATGATCGCCAATATTATGATTCACTACAAAAAATCAAACGTGAAATTCATTAGTCATAAAAAACGATTGACACTCATCTACCTAAATCTACATACACGAAAATCCACGATAGTGACAATTACATAAACTGACAATTTTTTATGATCGTGTATATATGGACCTTTAAAGCCCTTTAAAGCTTTTAAAGCCCTAGAAGCTTTAAAGCCCATTAAAGCTTTAAAGCCCTTAGAGCCCCCCCATACACGATTGGTCTTGGTTGTCAATCACATTGTCATTCAAGACTGACCGTTTGACTAATAATGACTGACAATCAAATTTTATGACTGACAAAATTCAAACATGTTTAAATTTTGACTGTCAATCACGTTGATTGTCATACAAGACTGATCGTGTATGCCTATATGAATGTACAATATCAATCGATCGAGTCGCACGGTATGGGCGTGTCTTTTTTGTCTCGTCAATTTTATATCTTCGTCAAAAAATCACAGTTAATATATTTTATAGTTTATAAGTTAAATAATAAAAAAATTTGGCGTGAGTTTACACATTTATATCGTATAATTTACCTGCTACATGGAAAATAAAAAGTGATATTATGTACAAAGATAGAATTTTTAATATGATTGCTATATGAACTTAACTGATAAACAAAAAGAAGCCGATGAAAAATAAATTTTTATTAAAAAACACAAATGAACAACTACTCTGATGCACTGTATTATCAACAGGAATTGCGTAACCACTGAGTATTATTTGAGTATTATATTTATAATATTTAGCTCAAAATCTGGGGGTACTAATTTTAGATTTAGGGGTGCCCCCCGTATGTGCGCCGATGCCATTAATCAACGGTCAGTCTTGACTGTCAATTGCGTTGATTGACATTCAACGATGATCGTGAGGGGCAGCACTGGGATTGCGTGATTCTGCACTGCAACAGAAACGAACATAATATAATATTCCGAACGCCCACCTTTAAAAACTATAAAAAGTTGAGATGACGAAACCGCACGGTTCCTGTATAAAAATGTAATATATAAAAATACATATATTTTTATAATATAATCGAGTTTTAATGTACTTTAAATAAAATTTTATATTTAAACGTAAACCCCTGAGAGCTGCAAATGTTTATGTTGATAAAATAAAGAACTCTCTGCAACGTTAAAAAATATCTGGCAAAGCATATTTCCGTTTAAATTCATTATTTAGATCCATATACAAATCACGTAAAAAAAGGAAAAAGAAAAAAAATACCAGTCTTCTTATAAAAATATCTTCAACGAAAAAAAGCTTTTTATTTGACGCCATACTGCGTTCCGCTCTGAACCTCGTGAAATATTTTTTTTTACGTTATAATTAAATAATATTTAACGCGTTTAGGAAAATTAAAATATAAAAATGTGTGTTTATTAACTAAATAATTATAATTAACAATTTTTAATTCGCAAAGCGTAAAATTTAATTTAACTCGCAGTATACCTAGAAATTCCTAAAATAATTTATAATATTATAATTCTTATTAATTTTTGTCTTGCATTTATTAATAAATGAAACTATTTTAAGTTTTCTATAGTTATAATATATGTATAAATTATACGAGCAACAGACTTTTCCGATAAATGTTAAGAATAAAACTCCGCGTTCTTCAAATAAATATGATTAATTAATTATGTATTAAGTTATCAAAAGTTTTATGAATAAAATACATATTTCATTAAAAATAAAGTTTCTTCCATTAAAATTTTATTAGTGAATCACTATAATAATATTATTCAATAAATAAAAAATTTAAAAAAACTTTTTCATTAATACACGTACGTTTAATATTTAAATATCTAGTAGGATAAGTACGTCAGAAAACAATAATACATTACATATTACGGGAGGTTTTAAAGATCCCGACAATGTCTAAATCCTGATAGTATCAAAATCACGATAGTTAAATTTTCAACACTTAAAATCCCGATGGATAATATCACAGAATTAATTTCGCACCTTAGAACGCACGTTCGCGTTATATTGAGTCAGCCCATTTTAGCAAATACTCTACACGATAATAGCTGGATACACTCGGTAATAAGGTTGGTGACATAGTCTTATCAGCACACCTTGTCAGAATTTTGACTGTGTCGGGATTTAGACCATGTTGTGGTTTTAACCGTCAGGATTTTAACTGTCGTGATTTCGAACAGTCGTGTTTTGGTGTTGGGATTTTTACCCAAACCCATATACTATAATACTTTGATACGACGCCTATTTGTTGTGTATAATATCATTATGGTGCAGAAATTAGGCAAATAAGAAAAACCAACGAAAATAAACGTCTCGTATTTAAAAATGGAATTCTGGTGAGAGTTGTTGCAAATATAAAAGAGACTAATGAGTGGAGAACACGAATGAATGAGAAACTAAAATCACTGTATCGAGAACCGAACATCGTAAAAGTCATCAAAATTCAAAAGTAATATATTACAATGAGTTTACAGTATAGGTACTGAAAAAGCACTCATAGGGAAAAGGCCCATTTAGAGACCAACTATGAAGTGAAAAGACAAAATCAAAAAAGATGTAAAAAAATGCAAAATAAAGTCTACTCTATTACACACATTACACTTCAAAACGGTATTTATAGGTACAATGTATTTTTCTGACGTACTCCTCGTCGAAATAACATTTTCTAAAAAACCTGAGCTCCGATATTCATTTATAATACATCAAACAATAGGACCAAAGGTTACAATTTCACTGTCCTTTTGTGTCTGTCATGTTTTTTTCTATACCTATTTTGTATATAATAAAAACTTAAAGGAATCTATAAATAAAAATGACGTCGTAGAAAAAATGGGTACGGGTGCAGCAACTATAGGTAATTTAATGTATATCTGTGAACAACGATTAACCATTGCTAACGAAAAAACGATTCTAAGCGAAGTTCAGTTGATAGTGATGCTTTATCAACAATATATATCGTCTCGCCCTCGTTCAAAAAGTAACTGAGTAAAATATTAACTTTGTTGGTGAACTATAATTAAATATTTAAAGTGCTCTAAAAATTCACCAACTTATTCGATTTTAACAATTTTTGTCTTAAAAAATCCGTAAACAAATTAAATTTTAGGTATAATAATAACTTGGGAATAGTTTAAAAAGCTAAAAAAAGCGAGAATAAAAAAAGACTAACTGATTTTTTTAAACCACTTGGTCAAATGAAAAACTGACTAACTGACTTGGGGTGGATTTGGAAAAAGATTTGGGTGGATTCTGGAACTTTCTATAACGGTAATCACTAAGAAAAGAGATGTCAGCCATCCATTCGAAAAATGTGCGGATACGCGTGTTTTTCAGTCAGTTTAAAACTTATGCAGCTGATATCCATTATATCAAATTAGGTATAATTTACTTAAGAGGACGTCGAACGTGCAATTTTCATATCGTCCGTGTATCTATAACGGGCAATACAGCAAAATTGTTTTTTCGTACTTTCAAATGCCTCGTCAGTTGTACAATTTTGATTTCGTTGCCAAAATAAACACGAAGAAATGTTGTTTTTTTCCCCAAATCTATTT